GATTGGTTGATTCCAAGCCAACTGACAGGTAAGTCTCTTCATTTACCTGTCACAGCACTCTGATTGGTTGGCTTGGAATCCAACCAACCAGATTGCTCTGAGCCATTTTACACAGTGTGGGGACGTTCTTTGGAATTTTCCCAGGCTGTGTAATTTGACTTATAACATTCTAATTGATTGCTTTCAAAGCACTCTGATTGGTTGGTTTGGAATCAACCAATCACAGTGCTCTAAATCAAATTGCAGAATGTGCGTAGCCTATATAAGGCTTGCCCCACCCTGCAAAGCTCATTTTGCACGGAGCCCTCCATGGGTGAAGATGGATTATTTTTGCTGTCGTTTTATTTACTTTTGTTGCTGCATTTTGTTTTTTTTTTGGTGCTCTGTTTTTTTTAACAGTTATGACGGGTATTATAGATTTTTATTTGGCTTTTTTGGGGCTGAAGAAAGAAAAGAAAAGAAGAAAAAAGACATCTAATGGTAAGTATGACATTTTATTTTACATGGTTAGTTTATTAGGGTGAGGGGAGTACGTAGGGTATTTTTATTGGGGGGGAGTGACTAGGGGCTTGGGGACCCCTAGTCACTTTATTATTTGTGGTCTCCACCCACCGGTCATGGGTGGGGACCTGAAAGGGAAATTAGGTCCCCCCATTATATATTTATTTATGGCCCCACCCGCCGCTCATGGATAGGGAAAGTCCCCCTTGTATTTAAGCATGTAGAAGTCAGAGAGATAATTGCACTTTTGTGGTATCAGCTTTTTATTCATTTTTAAATATAAGCACCGTTTTACATAGAGCAGTTGTTCTTTATTACTATGCTTAAATTGTATGTCAGAGGAGTTACTGAAAAAGTGAAAATTGAACTTTAAGTGGTGCTAACTATTCAAGCTAAATATAACTCTCTATTGAGCTTAAAATAAATTCATAGAAAATTATCAAAGTGAATATAACCCACATTTAAGGGCCATGCAGGTATGCCTTTTGGAACCCTTGAAAAATGTGAAACACAGCGAAAGAAGCAAACATCCAGTCTCTAGCGTCAGTAACCGTCATTGCGTTATCTTCTCCAAACTGCATCAGTGGAGGTAGAAGGCAAAGCAAGACTCACCAGGCAAGGCAAAATCACTACAATGAAAGGCACTTGAAAAAAGTAGGAGCTGCAGTAGCAAAAGGAGAAATGTAAATTTACTTTTTTTTTATTCACCTCCAGATTTTAGAATCTTTAACAAATTTAGAAACAACTTTGAATGGAGAGGTAAGTGGCCCATTGTATTCCAACAAGCATATGATGACACACTTTAAGTATCAAAGTGAGAGCATGGTAACCCAGGTTGGAGATTGACCATGATGAAGGTTATTTGTGCCATCAGTTTCAGAGATATTGGTGAGTATTGGGGGTTTAAGAATGTTCCATGTAACAGAAAACACTTGCTCACTTTGGAAAGTGGTCAGTGGACATGACAATAGCTGCTGGACAACAAGACACAGAGCAGGCCACATACTTTCTTCTTCTCATCTCAGTGGCTCAGAGGGTCATCAGTACGAGGCAAAGCACATTCAGAAAAAAAAAAATCCAAATGTTACCGGTGCATCAGGCTCTTCAGCATGTTTTCTTTTTAACCCGTTAAGGACAGAGCTTCAAAAGCTTGTCTTTCACTTAATGACAACAGCATTTTTTTCATTTTTTGCTGTTTGCGTTCAACTGCAATTTGCATTTTACTAATTTATTGTACCGACATATTATATACTGTTTTTTAAAGGACAGAAAGGGCTTTAATTTGATGTAACATATATATATATAAATGCTTATTTATTATAAAAAAATACAGAAAAATGCAAAAAAAAAAATTTGGAGGTTTTTTTTACAGTTTTTGCAATAATAATGTGTGCACAATTAGTGCAGGTTAAGGAAAGTAATTAAAAATAAATTTAGTTGTTCTGATTTACAGAATATATATTGTGTCTGGGATTTTAAGTTTTTTTTTGGTAGTTACAGGTCACAAAGCACAAGGAGTAAAATAAACTTTTAATGTGGAACGATTTTAGAATTTGGTATGTTTGTCTTGTAAGCTTAATAGCCATAAAAGAAAACAAAATTGCCACACAAAAGTATACATTTATATAAAGTAGACATTACGGGCTATTTACCTAAGGTTGTTTTGACACTTTCTACGTAGCCATTTCACCACCAACCTCTGCTAAATATTGGAGTAAAATTGTGTTTTTTTTGGTTTTTGGCAAACAAACTTATAACAAAGAAATTCTCATGTGTATTTTGTAAAGTTGGTGTGTGCTATTCCTGTACAAAGTTTAAAGTGCCATATAGGAGACCTGTCCTTTTCAGTATTCACAGTAGAATTTTGAGAGATGGATTTAATGAGCCTATGCTTCCATTTGGGGTATTATAGTAGTTTGACTGTTCAAAAAAAAACCACAAAGACCTACCATTTGTAAAAGTAGACACTCCAGGGTATCTCATAAGGTGCATATTGTGCCTTAACATGCCCCCATTTTTTTCACCAATATATGCCAAAGTATGTGGTAAAAAATTATTTTGTGCATTTGTTACATACGGATTGCATTATTCCTGGGCATTTTGTATATTTCATATATGCCACTAAGTTCAAACCCCCCACATTATGCTCAGCTAAGTCTTCTGAGTAAAAAGACACCCCCAATGAATGTCTTTGGCACTATTTCGTGAAGCTACAGTGCCATATAAAAGACCGAACGCTGGGCCTATGTGCGATTTCCAAGCATCTTCACAGGTTTTAAATTCAAACTACCCCACAAACACCTACCATTTCTTAAAGTAGACAACCCAGGGTATTTCAAAAGGTATATTATAAAACCTTAACGTGGGATCATTTTTCCGCCAGCTTGTACCAGGTGTAGTGGTAATAAGCGTTTTTTTATGCCTTTTTGACACACAAAGTGAGTTTGCACTGTATATTTTGCAAACCTTATGTGTGCTACCACTGTATAATACTTCATCTGTTGCTCAGCTATGTCGGCTGAGTACAGCAATACTCCCGTATGTACCTTTGCCAGGTATATGTGGACATTGGAGGGACACATTTGGGACACAGCCATTCCAGTTTTTTTCAAACTTTAAATTTTTACGCTGTGCCCATGTCCCATTTTAGAGTATTTTACCAGGCTATATAATCCAAATACCCCATAAAGCCATACCATTTCTTAAAGGATACATCCGAGGGTATTTCAAAAGGCATATTTTGAACCTTAGCGTGGGATTATTTTTCCGCTAGCTTGTCCCAGGTGTAGTGGTAATAAGCATTTTTTCGGCCTTTTTGTCACACAAAGTGAGTTTGCACAGTATATTTTGCAAACCTTATGTGTGCTACGACTGTATAATACTTCATATGTTGCTCAGCTATGTGGTCTGAGTACAGCAATCACCCCTGTATGTACCTTTGCCAGGTATATGTGGATGTTAAAGGGGCACATTAGAGACGCAGCAATTCAGTTTTTTTCTAACTTTGAAGTCCATGTTCCAATTTGGTATATTTTGAACCTTAGCGTGGGATCATTTTTTCTCTAGCTTGTTCCAGGTGTAGTGGTAATGAGCGTTTTTTAACTGTATTTTTTAACTTTTTTAAACTTTTTTTTACTTTTTAAAACGAGTTTTTAAACTTTTGTTTTGCTTATTAATTTTTTTAAACTTTCCTAAACTTTCTTAAAACTTTTTTTACAGATTTAAAATGTTTCTAAGCTTTTTTTTTTTTTACCGTTAACCCCTAACTAGCAGTAAGCAGCACTAACAGTAAATTCCCCATTTTCCCATAACTCCCGCCCACCCCAGCTAGCAAAATATATAATTATAAAATATTTAAATCAGTTAATTAAATAAATTGAACCCCCCTGAGGGTTAAAAAATAAATAAAAGTTAATCATCAGGGGTTAAAAAAAATTAGATCACAGTATAATACTGTGATCTGTATTTTGATCATTGTAGGCAGTGATCAACTGGCAGGGAAGGGGTTAATTTTTATTTGGACTGGCTAAAGGGGGTGTTTTTTATTTTTTTACTTAAACGTTATTAAAACTTTTTTTAACTTAATTTTTAACTTTTTAAAGCTTATTTTAAAACTTTTTTTAACGTTAACCCCTAGTTAGCCTAACACCAAATCCCCCAATTCCCCACTAACTTCCACCCACCCCAGCTAGCTAAATTTATAATTTTAAAATACTTAAATTAATTAATAAAATAGGTAGGGATTACATTTTACTATGGTCTGTTTTTTTTTTTTTAACCCCTGAGGTTTAAAAAAAAAAGAAATAACCCTTAGGGGTTAAAAAAAAAATCAGATCATAGTAAAATGTAATCCCTGCCAATTGATCACTGTAGTCAGTGCGAGCACATGTGCTGGGCAGCACTATCGGGTGCTCCCGGTCTGCCTCTAATACATAGGCAGACCGGAGCACCATTAACCCCGTGATCGCCACGATCAAGGCGATGTGGGGTTAATTTTACAGCGTGACAGACAAGGTCCGTCACTCGTCGTTAAGGGTTTCCCCTGAGTGACGGACCTCGTCCGTCATTCGTCATTAATGGGTTAAGAGGGTGAGGAGAATGAGGTCTGTCTCTGGGTTGTGTTTCTACCCTATTCCTGGGTAAGGTTTGAATGTCCTGCAATTGAATGCCCACAGAGTCCACAAAAGTCTCCACTTTGAAGATGTTGGTTAGGATATGAGTCTACCTATCTTTTTTTAACAATGAGCTTAAAGAGGTATCCCCACATGTATTTCATCCCGTGTTGATGAAGGGCTAATGTGAGGGGTTTAAGGTCTCTCCTCTTCTTAAGCGTGGTTGGGGCTAAGTCCTGGAAGAAAGTCAGGCAGGAGTTTTGATATCGTGGTGGATGATCCCTGGCTTTTCCTTCACGGGGAAGTAGTAAAGGTGAATGATCACATATCTCTGGTACAAGGTGGTGAGGGCCAGGGTATACAGCGCCCGGTGGGCTCTATCCATTTCTAGATCTTTGGAGCCATGGCTTTGAAAATGTCCCTGAGTGTGGGGATAAGTAGCTCAGGTGTGACGGTTTTTGGTAGGCCTCGGATATTGTTCCATCTAGATCTATTGTTGAGGTCCTCCAGTTCGTCTTCAATAGTGGAAATTTGCCCATGGAAGTATGCGATGTCTTGAGCCTGGGCAGAGGTGGCATTGGAGAGTTTCGAGATCCAGGTCTCCACCTGAGTGGTATGGGAAGTAAAGGCCTCCATGTCTTCTTTGAGGCCTGCGATCTGCTTGCCCAGTTCAGTGGCCATGTGGGCCTTAATATCTGACTTGGCATCTCTCAACATGTTTCGGAGGACTCTGATGGTAAGTGGAGCCGCTGGGTTGGGCATGGATTAATTTTAAAGTTCCTTATTGTAACCTAATAAATGGAACTGTTTGACTTGCTGATTTCTGATATCCTTCTAACTGCCATCTTCATTCTGCCCATAATCTGAATGCATCTTTCACTTATGTTTATCAGACTACAAATTAACAAAGTAACTGAGTGAGTAAACTATATAGTAGTGATGCAGGACCCGAAAACCCACAGACTCAAGGCACCATAACCAATTTAATCACTGCAGTATTCTTTTAAGCTGTTGAAAGGTATTGTGCTCTGTGTAATTTTTAAATATAGACTAAATTCCTAAACCTATGTACTCTGACAAAGAAGTGAATGTATAGATAGATATATATATATATATATATATAATGTGATTATCCTTTGTCTTGAGAATATATGTAATTGTTTGAAATGTCTTCCTGTAAATTGTTTATTTAAAGTTTTTTCAATACACTGTAAGGTTTTTCAATGTAGTATAGCAGTAAAGCTAATATGTAACCTTTCCCTGTTCTCTTCCTTGACCATTTTGCTTCTCTGCTTCCTTCCAAGTAATATTACTTCTCTAATTCTTGGGGACTTTAACATTCCAACTAACCCACCCTTGACCTTGGTAACCTCAAAACTTCTTTCAATTGCTATCTCCCTTGGACTATTTCAGTGGGCTTATTCTCCCACACACCTAACTGGCAATACCCTTATCTTGTTTTTTCAGATGCATTAACAGCTTCTAATCTCTGCAGCACTCAATTTTCTCTGTCAGATCAGCACCTCTTAGTTTTTGTTCTTCACCCAACACTCTCAGCCTAATCCTTCTCCCCAATTTAGGAGTAAACTGAATTCTCTTGACCTCCAATGACTGTCAGCTGATGTCCATTCTCAACTCTCATCCATTCCTCCATTCTCATCCCATCCATAACACTAGCCCCTGGTGCTTCACTAATTCGTAGGTAAAACCTCTGCTCTGACGAATAACCTTCTCCTGTCCGTTGCTTGCACCCTTACAGCTAACTCACACTTGTCTCATTTTTTTTGTAAAATTCCCCCCTTTATAATATTGTAAAGTGCTGCGGAATATGTTTGCATTATATAAATAGTAAAAATGAAAATCCAGCGCACTCGCTTATCTACTAAACAGTTATATTAATGCTGAACAATTTTCAGTTTTATTAAAAACACCTAATCTAGGCAAAAAAATATAATGGGGGTTTAGTTACAGTATATGATCATACATTGCATAAGCTTGCCACAACACCAATGTACCCCAGCTTTGGCAGGTCCTACTCTGTCTGCTAAATGAGCTACTCACTTGGGGAAATCCTTCCATCTCGAGGTCTCTGCAGTACAATACTTAAATAGGATCCTGAGATAAGGCACCTGTAACAGGGAGGGGTGCAAAACCCATAGAGCTGGCTAGACTTCTAAATATATACATTATATAAATACCAATAATTGTTATTATATTATTATAATAATGATTATATAATAATAATAAAAATACATAAAAGCATAATGACAAATAATACAGAATTAATCCATGACTCACATTTCCAGGTTCTGTCCGTTTGTCCCAACTTTATTGCTTGGTGTCCGTACAATTGGGGACACAGGAAAATGTCTTCACAATGTGTGTTGTGTTTTATATACTCCGAGCCCTAGGACTAATATCCAACTCTGTTAATTGACTGCTAGAGTCTGGTAGACAACCGAGCAGTCAATACACCAACACTGCTTCATTAAGCTAAAAATTTTGGTGCTTAGCGTGCCCCTTTAATCTGCTAGTGTAAATCTTTTGAGCAGACAAAAATATGAAGGAGATTTATTTGAAAGAGAAGAAATGAAGAAAGTAATTAAGAAGAGGTCCTCCGGAAAGCCCATGGCTCTCACCTATGGCAGAAGAGGATGTTCCAGCCAAGGTGACCATGTGTTACAATGCAGAGTAATGTAGTTGTGATGTGAGCTGTTCCATTCAGTTACTCCCACCAATGTGTCAGACTAGAGGAACATGTTCTTCTTCCTTTTCAAGTTGAATCCAAGGCTTAGACCTAGAATAATATTTCTAGTCTAATATTCAAACCAGGTGTAAAGCATGGAAACAGTAATTTACGTATATTGTATGTAAACTGTGCCTAAATAAATATTGATTTGACTGCAATATAGGAATATATAAGGGAATTTTCAATAAACCCCATGATTTTGCTACATTCCTACGTGGCAAAACATTTATATGATAAGAAGGAAGTGTTAATTCCATATTACCATACAATTAAAATGTTGGAGGTTCTAGGTACCAAGAGCTGCCCCAGTTTGTACCAACCTTTCCTAAACATTTTGGTATTAAATGGGGTGAGTTGTGCTGGGGAACTCTAGATTACATAGCTACTTCAGCAAACTATAGGGGGTTATGTTGCATATAGTCCCCTTTTAATGAATTCTTGAATCAATATTTTTCCCAAATTGTGTGTTCAGATGAACAGATTTTACAACTATGCAAACAAAGTAGAATGGAGAGCTACAAAAGAGATAAAAAAAAGATACAAAAATAAAACTTGAGGGAATAAGGTTAAGGAGAAATATTTACAACGGTTTAAAAAAACAAAAAAACAGTATGATGTAAAATCCATGCAATGTGCATTCTTTCATTATATATTTCTTCAAATCTTTTCAAAGCTGAGGTTTAAGTTAATGAGAATGTATTGCTCTAGATTGTGGCTTACAAACCACTGTTTCAAGTGATTATTTCCAAATTGCTGTTTTTTACTGTTTATAGAAACATAATTAGTACACTATTAATTTCCTACTTCTACAATCGGTTAGACATATTTCCAGATGCAACATAGAAAACAAGCTTTGTTGTGGCATACATACAAATTAAAAGGAAGTGTATTACTTGCAATAAGGAATGATTACTCTGAGAAAATTAGCAGAATGCAATGCATTAAGCAAAGGAGAATTAAAAAATCGAATTCTGGCAAAACAAAAACCAAGAATGCTTATACATGTTTTGAAGCACATTGTATATAACTTGTTTTCTTTGCTCACAATTTGTTTTGATCCTGAAAAATGAATAATTAGACTTTTCATTCACTAGTTCTATACATTTATAGAAATAAATTAAAGCATAAACATGGTATTTTTTTTTAGATAAAAATATATATATTGAAGTTATTTAGCTAGGTGCCAGAAAGAATGTGGAGATTCCAAAATTAATGAAACTCTGCACAGTGCAAATAGAGAAATTACTATTATGATCACCTACTTATCTCAAGTTAGACTTTGAGATAGTTGTATAAACTGTGCTTCTCATAGATCCCAGCTGATATGCACATTAGTACAGACAGGCATTGTGTTTCAGACTTCACTCTGAATTTCTACAGGTACCCATTGCAAATGACACTGTTTTAAACAATTTAAAATTGTGCTTTAATGTTTTGAAGGCTACAAATGCAATGCAATGTGATAGGAGGGAGAAAATAATGAACTGATATGACTATTCTCTTAGTATGACATTAATACGTAGAAATGTTAAGTCAATGTGTTACTATTTATTTGTAATTTACAAATGAAAGTGAATGCAAACACAAGAGTTAATCAATTTCTTAGAGTAAGAAGCCAGTAATATATTTTATTTTATTCCCCATCACTGGAGTGTAATATGCATTTTATTTTAGGGGACACTAAGTGCCAGGAATTAATCACCACATGGTATTTCAATTTCTTATAGATTTTTCATCATTTCTGAAAGGGGATTGACACCTTGCAATACAATGCAATAGATTTGTTTACAGGAGTAACATTTGGTTTGACCTAACCATTTTAATGAAATGTTGTTAAAGGTTCGAAACTTCTTCATTTGAAGGGTTGGCTCGTGTGAATATCATCTTTGAAAAATATTCAGGAAAATTATTTGGATGAACCAAAAAGGGAGCACGATGAGCTAATCAGTGTACTACAAAATATATGTATAATATATATATATATATATGTATATATATATATATATATGTATATATATACATATATATATATATATATATATATTATACATATATTTTGTAGTACACTGATTAGCACTGATTATCAGTTTACTAATAGGCACATTTTTCCACCATTTGGTTCACAGTTTAACAATTCACCTTCTACTTTCAGCTAGAAGGCAAACATCTCTGAGACAGAAAGGGGTATATGTATTGGTTAATGAAAAATACTCCTTTTTGTCTGATCAGATATATTTGTCTTTTGGCTGAGAGCCAGCAGCAAGGTGAATTGTTAGTGTAGGAATCACTAATCGGATGCATCTTATAAAAGATATAAGGAAGCAAATAATGTGTGTAAAAAGGCAATTAGACTTGATAAACTTCAAAATGAAATAATGATAGCTAAAGAGAGCAAAACCAACCCCAAAGCATTTTTTAAGTACATAAATTATAAAAAACCCAAAAATGAAAGTATAGGTACACTAAAAACTGAAACGGGGGTGTTAGTTAATGAAGACCAGGAAAAGGCAGGAATTTTAAATAACTATTTCTCCTCCATATATATTAAGGAAGAACCCATGGCAATAGATGTGCAAATGATTGCTACTAAAAACGTGCAGAATAATTGTAATTGGTTAACTAAAGACAAGGTGCTGCAGCAACTAAAGAAAGTTAATATAAACAAAGCTCCAGGGCCTGACAGTATCCATCCACGTGTACTTAAGGAACTAAGTGTAGAAATAAGTGAACCTCTGTTTTTAATCTTTCAAGATTCTTTTCTTTCAGGAAGTGTTCCGGAGGATTGGAGGAAGGCAGATGTGGTTCCTATATTCAAAAAGGGTTCAAAATCCTTGCCTGGAAATTATAGACCTGTGAGCTTAACCTCTGTGGCTGGTAAAATATTTGAAAGGTTATTAAGGGATAATATTCAAGAATTCCTTGAGAAGAACATGGTTATCAGCAAAAATCAGCACGATTTTATGAAGCACAGGTCATGTCAAACTAACTTGATTGTGTTCTACGAAGAAGTAAGTAGAAGTATAGATCAGGGTGTTGCCGTGGATGTGATCTATTTGGATTTTGCCAAGGCATTTGATACAGTTCCACACAATAGATTAGTGTTCAAACTCAAGGAAATCAGTCTAGATGAAAATGCTTGTTCTTGGGTAGAACATTGGCTTAAAAACAGAGTACATAGAGTTGTCATTAATGGTAAATTTTCAAGCTGGACAGAGGTGGCAAGTGATGTCCATCAGGGGTCTGTTCTGGGACCACTTCTATTTAACATGTTTATAAATGATCTTGAAGACAGCATTGAAACTCATGTTTCAGTGTTTGCAGATAACACAAAACTTTGTAAAATAATACAATGTGAGCAAGATATTACTTTGCTGCAGGGGGATTTAGATAGACTGGGAGACTGGGCACTCAAATGGCAAATGAAATTTAATGTTGAAAAATGCAAAGTTATGCACTTCGGCGTAAAGAATACACAAGTAACGTATACCCTTAATGGAAGCAAATTAGGGATAACAACACACGAAAAGGACTTGGGAATTGTTATAGACAACAAACTATGCAACAATGTGCAATGTCAATCAGCAGTGGCCAAGGCCAGTAAGGTATTGTCATGCATGAAAAAGGGCATTCATTCTCGGACGAGAATATCATTTTGCCTCTTTATAAATCACTGGTAAGACCCCATATTGAATATGCTGTGCAATTTTGGGCACCTGTTCTAAAGAAGGATATTATGGCACTAGAAAAAGTGCAGAGGCGGGCTACAAAATTAATAAAAGGAATGGAACATATCGGCTATGAAGAAAGGTTAACAAATTTAAACCTATTTAGTTTAGAAAAACGTCGCCTGAGAGGGGATATGATAACATTATACAAATATATTCGGGGCCAATACAAACCATTGTGTGGAAATCTATTCACAAACCGGACTTTACATAGGACACAAGGCCATGCATTTAGACTGGAAGAAAGAAGATTTCGTCTAAGGCAAAGGAAAGGTTTTTTTACTGTAAGAACAAGCAGGATGTGGAATTCTCTGCCTGAAGAAGTGGTTTTATCAGAGTCCATACAGATGTTCAAACAGCTACTAGATGCATACTTGCAAAAACAGAATATTCAAGGATATAATCTTTCAACGTAGGGTAATAACTGCTTGATCCAAGGATAAATCTGACTGCCATTCTGGGGTCAAGAAGGAATTTTTTTCCTAGCTTGTTGCAAAATTGTGCTTCAAACTGTGTTTTTTGCCTTCTTTTGGATCAACAGCAAAAAACAAATGTAAGGAAGGCTGAACTTGATGGACACAAGTCTCTTTTCAGCTATGTAACTATGTAACTATGTAACCTGAGTGGTTTGCTTTGATGGGGCATGTGGGTGAACTTATAATTATATGGCCATTGGAATAATACTAAAAATGTGCATTAGGATTTGAGCTCAGGTAACTCTTTTGGGATTCTGTTCTATGTATTTGGACTGATGAATACTGTTGTCATTGCTGCTGCCCAGAAGTAGTGGGGGTTTAATAGCAGGGCTTCATCTTGTGTCGATAAAAAAATGAATGATATGTTATATTGAAGCGTCACTAGCAGTATAATGAAACAAACAAGCTTTTTTTACACTAATTTTAAGCAGAGTTAGATTTGATAAATGATGTACAGATACTCAAGATCATTTCATATCTAACAGGTTTTTTAAAAATCTTTGGAGACATTTTAATTCATTCTTAAATCAGATTTTTAATTGGATGCAAATTTTTCAGGCAGTCTGGGATTGTAACATTTCTAAGAAATGTTTGCATATGTTCGTTACAATAGCAGATCTGAAGCTAACATTCTTACATTGGTCTTTGTGGACTGCAAGTGAGTTTTATACGTTACATACAATCTCAGAAGATTATACTTTGCTCTTCAAAGCTTGATGTTGAGCCATAAAATACACCAAACGTTATATGCATTTACATCTTTTTTTTTTTTTATAATAATTAATCATGAAACCAGGAGTATTATGCAATCATGATTGATCATGTTAATCAATTTAACCAATGTTAAAATGCTGTCTGCATTAATAGTTATTTTTTTCAATAAATGTATCAAGATACCTGCAAATATCGCCAGTGTTTTGCTTTTTTTTTTATTATTATAAATCAGTATCTTCAACTATTCGTTCCCTAGTCTGAATTAAAAAAAAAAAATGCAAATGACTACATGAACAAATTGCTGTTGTGTAATCCATTTGTTTTGTACACTCTTTTGCACAGAAATGGGAGAGTGATGGTGGAAGGGTTGATAATTCCTTTAATCTATTCTGCATTTTACTTTGCCATGATGTACACAAGATCTGTTCAGTCATGTTTCCAAGCATCAACTGTCCAATCCTTATGTAGTAATAGTCATAACTAATGTTAGGGGGCATTTTGATTTTGGCACACAGGTTTCGAGCAATGGAGCCAATAACAGGAAAAACATGGAGGGTGTAAAGAATCAATAAAAACAAATGCAGTGGGGCTTCAAACAACTTGACTAGAGCAATTGCAAAGGAGTCAGTGATTTTTGTAATGTAAATTCATTGAGATTGTCTTTGCTCTTGATGCTTTTGAACAGGATGTCAGGATAATGTAAGCGAACATCCTGAATTAAGTCACACCTCAAACAACACCCCAATCACAAGGTAGATAAGTAAATGGATAGTGTCATATTACTAATCCAGGCTGGGCTGGGCTGGGCTGGGCCGAGCTGGGCTTAATGTACTAATGGTCAGGGAATTAAGTCAAGGTACAAGCCAAGGTCAAAGATTACAAAAGTACACAGAATCAATTAACTAGACAAGGTCAGGGATACAGAAGAAAACAAAATAGTCAGCACAAGCCAAGATCAGTAAATTAGGAATCATATATGTAAATTAATGCTGAATGATGTTGCAAAAATTATGCAACTGTATCAGTGTCAAAAATGACATGGGACATGCCCGCATCATAAATAGGAGCATGAGAGTAGAATCTAAAATGATGTATGAATGGCGCAAGGTAGATGCACATGGCTCTCTCGCAAAGGCCTGCATCTTGCATGCTGACACCAGGAGGCTGCATCGAACTGACAGTATCATTACACAGAGAGGGAGAGAGAGAGAGAGAGAGACAGAGAGAGCTTGTCACATTATGTACTATGTTGATAGTCCTTGAGTGTCACTGTGTTCTCTTTCTGCACACTGACCTTGTACTGACAGCCAAAGGCGTAACTAGAAACCACAGGGCCCTGGTGCAAAAAATGCCCTGCCCCCCCATACATCTCATCCCCCACTCCATCCATGTGTTGTATTCACGCCCCTTAGCCCCTCCATGTATCTTATTCATGCCTTGCAGGGTGATTGTGGCTTGATTGGAGGATGAGTATGACAGCATTGGAGGAGTTAATGTGTGGCTAGGTGAAAGGGGGTGAGTGTGACAGAGTGATTGAGAATGAGTGTAACAGGATTGGGGGGTGAGTGTGATAGTGCTAGAGAAGGTGAGCGTGATAGTTTGAATATGTCAGAGTGATGGGAGGTGAGTATGGCATGGGTCAGTGACAGGATTGGGGGAGTTAGTGTGAGTGTGGCCAGGTGAAGGGGGGTGACTGTGTGTGTGGTGACAGTTACATAGACACAGGTGCATACACTGACACACATGCAGATAAACAGACAAACACACACTGACATACATGCAGATACACACCACATAACACGTACAGATACATACATGAACACATATGCTGATACACAGACTCACAAACTAACACACAGATACACAGACACATATATACACACAGAGGCACAGGCACACAAACTGACACACATGCAAGTATACCAACACACAAACACACAGATACACAGACACATATATACACAGAGGCACAGGCACACAAACCAACACACATGCAAATACACACAGAATGAAACACATTCAGATATAATATATCAGATAGCACCAACTTTATTAATGTTTAAAGTTTATTGAACTTAATAACATTTTATTAATTTTGTTTTTTTTTTTACTTTTTTTTAACTTTTTTTTTACATCCCCACAAAACTACTAAAACACACTGC